CATACCACAGTGATGACTAGGGATCCTGAGAGGGGGGATTAAAAATTGACTGCGTCGAACGGTCGACCAGACGGCAGCTCTATTATTGATGATCCGGTCTGATTTGCTGCAGGGTGCATACGTGACGACAGTAAAATCAATAGCATGCCTTAGTACGTGAACCATGAGATACATTCGGAGTTGGTCGACGCGTCAAACCCACTGGCAGGGGTGGAAAGGTGCCTTTTCTGTCAGTGACGAAATTTGGAACCGCCTGAATTGTTACCTGGGTTCAAATCTTTCAGAAACCGTTGCAATACACCTCGACATGCAATAAACCACACAAAGCAAAACAAATTAAATGCAATGCTGCATAACAACCAAGCATTTTCGTGTCGGGAGTTCATTTGCACTAAAGTTTCATTTGCTGGCCATTAAACACTGGTTGAAGGTTGAGATTAACCTAACATAATTATCAGGTAAAGGTATACTTAACATAACCAGCCTAAAGGCATATAACTTCCTATTCAGTTGGGGGGGGGGGGGGGGCGGGATTGTGCCTTCTAACCAGGGATGCAGTGTCCTATTCTAGCAATATTATTTGTCTATTATTTTCCAATCATCATAATTTGGGGGTTTAACCCCTAAAACTGATTTTGAGGAATTCCATTCCTGCTGCCAATTACGTAAAATTGCGTCAAGTCTGGGGGAAAACTGTTTCAAGCGTATTTTTGAGACGGGCTCAGCCATGTCTTCTTCCTGCACCTTTATCCCTTCCCCTTCCATCCCTCACCTCTACGCATTTTGCGAAACTGCCTTCCTGTGGCCCTACATTAACCGATAACATGGCTCTACAAGCACCTAAAACAATATCACTTTTGTTTTCGTGACGTCGTCGTACAATCAGCTGAAAGCGTTGGCGACCTTCATTATCTTGGCATAATTATTACCGGTGCAGATCTCGCACTTCCTAACGTGATCCCAATTATTTAGAGCAAAACCCATATAATATTGGTATCAACAGATGCAAACGACATTTTTGAAAACCCCTAGTACCTTCATTTAGCTTTATATGCAATATGGTGACAACTAAAAACGGTTTATTTAATGTCTGCTCACCGATCAGTGCACAAAGTCTGAGGTGCAACGGTGAATGTGACAGGCCTACACCAGCGATGTTCGGCCTCTGACCTCAAAGCCGCTGTCGCTCTCAGCAGCAGCAAACCCCGGATGAATCCTTGACACGTGTCGCTCCAACGACCTCCGTTTACCTCTGGGCTACAGCTCAGATATCCACAAACAACAACCCTAGACCGGCAGGGCTTTTTAACGCTGTTGCCTTAAAAACTGACGATTAGGTACATCCTTCTAGCCAGTCAGTATGTCAAAAATGAATGTAACCAAAGGCAGCCACAGCATTGCACTGAACCCAATGCATGACCGCGTGGCGAGCAATCAAGCGCATCTGTCTCAAGTGGCACAACGCTTTCAAACGCTGCGTAGCAGACTGATTACGCTCGCCGCAAGATGCAGCGGCCAGCCATGATTCTTACGACTAGTGTAATAAGTCTAATTATTTTGTATTTTATATTGTCTAGTGACAAATCTAGTTAATTGGTATTTTATACTGTGAAATATGTAAAATGAATCTTGGCTAAAAATATGTGAAAGCACTGATCTGAGCGTCATTGGAAGAGCACTGCGTTGTCACTGACCTGAAACGTCAGCACTGATGTATAGTTTGTAGCACGTCAGTATAGTTTATAGTACATTTCTGGCACCCGCTAAAAGCTGTTCTGATTAAAGCTACTATGTTTGGCGGCATTTTATGAGTAAAATTGCTTACGCCAACGTTTCGACACGTGTTCACGCTGCATGCGTCTGCGAGCACATACTAATACTGAGCCTTGAGTTTCATCGAGCTGAGATAGTATGTTGTAATGTATAAATAAATGGGGGCGAGGGGTCGTATCCGGATGTTGCCCACAGGGGGCAAGGAATCTTATCCGGATGCTGCCCACAGGGGCGAGGGGTCGTATCCGGATGTTGTCCAAAGGGGGAGAGGGATCTTGTCCAGATGTTGCCCGAAGGGGGCAAGGGATCGTATCCGGATAAAGACGGTTCCAACCTCCCCTCCCATTTCTGCTATGGGAACTCTGAATTGAGCCTTTACAGCGTGAGACATGATTTTCATGAAAAATGCCGGAATTGTAAGCGGCAAAAAAAAGGTTGGAAAAATTCAATACTTGGTGGGAGTGCAGTCTTTTGCAAAAAATTAGTAACTATCAACCTTTTCATTGCTTGCCAGCTGTGAACATACCGTGGCCGAAATCCGAGAAATAATCTGCATTTCGCGTATGTTAGGTTAATCGACTTCGGGTTAACCTCCTCGAACAAACTTATTCGTCGAGGCTACACTAACGACAGTCACTATGGCATCCTCTTACACAATTGTGTTCTGAGTACTTACACCTGCTGTGATGGCATACGTAGTGGAGAGATGAGAGAAAGCTACATCAGCTTTTGCTCTGAGCTCCCTCCTGTTATAACTCGTGGACTGAGACTGAGACTATTATAGTTGCATTATATTTATATTAGGTATATATGTATAATATGTAGATGCATAATATATAATACATAACACACACACACACACACACACACACACACACACATATATATATATATATATATATATATATATATATATATATATATATATATGTATATATGTATGCATGATATGTATGTATATTATATAGTTCTATCATATTGAAGTAGGACTAAGACTATTATAGTTGCAGACAGCTGTGACCCTCAGCCTCATATACAGTGGTAAATTTTTTGAGAGTGTGTCTTAATGTTTTTGGTTAGTGACTTTTAATCAAACTCCTTCCAAATGAGACAGTTTGTCCCACCCTCGGGTAAATTGTATCACACGGTGGGGAAGTTGTGCTGATGTTTGTGTTGCTCTGTCATAGAATATGTTGCATCGCGAGCAAACAGCATGCGTTGCGACTTAAGACAAAATGCGCTGGTTTATGCTATTTCGTAGTTCTTTGTGATTACAACATTACAATCGTTTGCTTTTTTCACCGAGCAGCTGCGTGTTTTACTACTACTACCTCGGTTTCAGTTGCTCACGAGAAATCATGACTTTACATGAGTAAACGATGACAGGTTTTCTGGATGAAAATAAGTCAGGACAGTCATGTAAGTCAATTAGTGACTGCAATTAAGTCAATGACAAATTGTCGGCACATCATATCATTGATACAATGTGCCCCATGCACAGCCGATACCACGCGCACCGCTCGACATCTTAGAAGCAAGTTCTCACCACCCAAAAATCATTGGCCGGCAGACTCCCAGATGTTTTTTCAGCATATCGGACACGTCTACCGCCCCACCACTCAGCGCATCATTCAGATCGGTCTAGTTATGCTGTGAGCCCTCAAACACATATTCACAGCGATCGATATAGTTTTCGACGATGCGATGCGGCAAAAAATCACGGAAAGGTGTAGGGAGCTGCTGTGCGCCAGCTAAAACATTCAATTACGCTATCCATGGCATCGTTTCGGATAAATCGTCCTGACACCAATTGGACTTGATACAATTCACACCAATTAGGCCCTACACCTATCATAAATTTCCACTGCATCCATCAACATCATCTGTTATGCTCGCCACGATTATTGCATTCTTTGTGAGAACGAAAGGAACCGATCAAAATAAGTATAGCACAAAACACACTTCCATTTCATGAAACACAACCGTTTTGAGGTCAGCTGCCCTGTGCGCTGCGTATGTCCGCTAGACCGCTGTCATAGATCAAGTAAATTATCCCATTTGATAAACTTGATCCCAATTTATCCACACTGTCCTTTGTGTTCAGCTTTTGTCAAATAAGTAATGGACGAATAATTCAATACACGTTGGCTGGCAAGGGTTATGGCTGAATAAATTAAAACATCAGTGATTCGGAGAAGAAATTTAGCAAAGGATCGTGCCAAGTGGTCCATGAACATGGCCAAAATATCGACGACGCATGTTCAGGGCCTCACGTCACTGGAATAACCATTTGGACACCACATGTCGGACCCTTTGGAAACAGTCACTGACAGCATGGCTAGTGTCTGGAGATGTCCGCGGATGACTAGTGTCTGAAAACGACCGGGGATGGCTTGTCGCGAATGGCTAGTGTCTGAAGACGCCTGCGGATGGCTAGTGTCTGTAGACGCCCGCGGATGTCTTCAATCCAGGCCCCGTAGATGATTATTTGCTTCCGTGAACGGTGCGCGTTTATGAGCATGACACAATACATCTGTATTATGCCAGTGACTTACCAGCGCATTCTTCGCGCCAAACAGCGGCGCGGCCAGACACATCTCGTCATGAGTGAACCGATCGAGGCTGGTCACTCCATGGGCAATAAATAATGCGTCTTTCCAAAGACGGGCTGAATTATAACTCCGCTTGGTCCTTCCTGTTAGAATGTGTAACAGTTCACGGAATGTGAACAGCATGAATAACGTTTTTCCAACAAATTACACTTGTGATTAGTCACTATGACTTGTCATGCTTGTAAGAAGTACGACGTGCTAGTACCCGGATGAGGAAATAATAGCATGCACAGCACAGAAGCTGCAAATGTTACAGATGCCGCACCAAGATCCATTAAGACCGACGATTTTCACATATACTTTTAACCAGGCTTTCGTTCGTTAGGGCGACATCACTAAACAAAATCTCAACTTTTTCCACCCTTTGATAAGAACACATCCGATCAGTTGCATGCCAATGATTATATTTTGAACATTAAAGACAAGTCAAAATGAACGAAAGCCCTTCGGCCGCAAACCTTGTATGGATTATGATAACCCGTAAAAGGCTTATGGCCAACACCTTGTTGTTTACTTTAGCTTGATCGTTCTCACCATGTTACGCCGGGTTGATTAAAAAAACAGGAATATGATTACGCCTACCACCGCAACAATAATGACATCACTCATCCCCAGGTGGTGAGGGACGACTGCAACACATCATCTGCTGCTCAGCGCCAGCTCCTGCAGCCCCGCGCCGGCCCAAGCAGCTCCTCGTCGGCCCCAGCAGCTCCGCGTCGGCCGTCGGCCCTGGTGTCACCGAGCGCACGTGGGGCCGACCTGTAGCTCAACGGGGGAGAGCTTTCAGCCAGCTGACGGTGCCAGTGACACGATCCTTCGGCCGCTGGAAGCTTCGGTCGCGGTCCGTCGAACCTGAAATTATCCGTCGACACGCGCCTGGACCGACGCTGGTGGGCGGCAGTTCGGGGAACGACTCGTAACGGCCCGCCGCGCTCTGATGGACTCGCCCTCGTCGTGATGGACTCGCCCGCGTCGCGATAAGCTGCTCGTGTGCTGAAGACCATCGCTCACCGAAAACGGCGTCCAGACAGAGTCGTTCGATAAGTCGACGGTCGATCAAGCCGTTCTACGCTCGGGCTAATCGAACGAGTCACGGGAGTCGATGCTGAATGGCATTTCATCGGCTGGGATCGGATCCGCCATGTGTGTTTTAATCAGTGATCGGTTCTAGGAACCGGAGTGGCGGCCGAGCAGCGTCCAGTGACCTCAGGTGATGCCGTGACCCAGGTCCAGGTCGAGCATGCGCTGGCTTAGCGGCGTGACACTGCCAAGCAGGCGCTCAACCTGGACAGGGGCGTGAATGTTTCCTCAACTCAGCTCATCTCCATACTCGAGACGGTTAAGTGACCATCGCATTGCCGGGTAGCATCATCTACAGCAAACCGATGTTGTTGCCCCTCCCCTCTTACTGACGCCAGGCTCCGTCCCATCCCAGAGTTGTGATTACCACATTACATACCCCCATCACAGCCTCACGTCACAGCCCCATCATTGCATCACAGCCCTCCCCAGCACAACATCACATCACACCTCCCCTCCCTTGCAATCATGTCGAGCCTGGTCCAGTGTCCGTGCCGTCCGGTGCCTGGCCAAGACCTGGCGCCCGAGTACCGGCGGTGGCGGCGCGTGCACGGCCTCCAGCTGCCGCTGCACGGCCAACAGCTGGCCGGCTGGCTCCTGCTGCTGGCCAGCGCGCTGTACCTGGCCGGCGTGCTGCTGCCGGCGCTCTGCCCACCGCTGCGGATGCCCGTCTGCCTGCTGGCCGCGCTGCTGCTGCTCGCGCACGCTTTGACGCACATCGGTGCCACGCTGCTCGATCCGGCCGACGCCGACCTGCGCGCGCAGCGCGCCCGCCAGCCGGTGCCGGAGTTCGACCGCGAGCGGCACGCGCACGTCATCGAGAACGGCCGCTGCCACCTGTGTAACGTCACCATCGCCTCGCAGCGTACCAAGCACTGCTCGGCGTGCAACAAGTGCGTCGACCGTTTCGACCACCACTGCAAGTGGCTCAACCACTGCGTCGGTCGGCGCAACTACAGCTGGTTCTTGGCGTGCGTGGCGAGCGCGGCGCTCCTCTCGCTGCTCGTGCTGGCGCTGACCGTCGCCGAGATGGCGCTGGCGTTCTCGGCTGGCGCGGCGGCGCGCATCGGCGCCTGTCGCGCGTGCGCCAACGCCGGCGTCAACGACAGCGCCAGCGCTGCGCCATGCGCCCCCGTGCTGGCCATGTTTGGCCAGCCGGTGGGCCGCGCCGCGTTTGTGGCGGGTGCGGCGACGTTCGCCGCGCTGGCGCTGGTGTGTGCGCTACTGCTGCTGCACCTGCTCGGCTTCCACGCGTTTCTCGTGGCGCGCGGCGCCACCACGTACGAGTACATCCGCAGTCATCACGCCGCTGGGCAGAAGGCCGTGCCGGGCGGCGGCGGGGATGTTGGGCGGCGCGGGCGGTGCGCCGCTGGAAGGCTCCCGGCACCGCGGTGCTGCCGTCTGGCGGAGCTGCGGTGCTGTCACCTGGCGGAGGCGCAGCGTAAGGGCCGCGTGCAGCCCGCGCCGGAGTCGGTGCTGCCGCACAACGGCCGCTCGGGGAAGCTGAACGGCGCGGGCCCCGCGCCGGCCGCCCCCACCAGCGTCGTGAGCGTCTCGGCGCTCGTGGCGGCGCCTCGTGCTGACGGCGCCCTGCCCGTCCTGGCGCCCATCAGGGAGCGAAGAAGTGACGCCACGTCGGCGGCGCGGCTGACGCACGCTCTTGACACACTACAGCGGTACAACGACACGTGTACGGAACTGCCCGACTCGGACAGTGAAGGGTGCGACCAGGATAAGATGGCGGTCGTTGGCGGCGGGGAGGGTTGGCGGACAGGAGACAGTGCAAGTTCTAAGCTTGAGGGTGGTCCCAGTGATGAGCAGCGACAAAGTCTCGCAGGTGGTCGTGGTGCACAGGGGCGAGAACAAAGTGCTTCTGCTCGAGAAAGACTGCGTCTAGCTGTGGATTCTCTGCCATCAGATGCGGGCGGGAACAAGGAGTGCAAAACGCTACCGAACTCATCGGACAATCATGGTGCGGCTGCGGCAGGCGGGACACGGACGAACGATGCGAACAGCCGCAGCGCAAAGCCAATGCCCGGCCGAGTTCCGAGTGCAGCAGACAGCGACCGGCTCCCAACAAGCCCACGACAACGCCCAGCCGCCGACGCCGCCGCCGCCCGACGCAGACTCGCCGACGGTGATGCCGCCTATAAGCGCCAGTGCTGCCACCAGGCGGTCACTCGACCTAACCGTCGACAACGCGGCGGCGGGCGACGAGGATGTCGGTCTGCGCGGTCGCTTCCGCGTGACACCGGTCACGGAGTTTCGCGCGACTGCGGCACCGGCGCCGCCAGGCTCTCCGCGCATCACGCGCACCGTCTGCGCCCGACCGTCTCCGGCCGAGTCACCGCCGGGCACGGCGGCCAGCCTGTACAGCGGCGCCGAATCGCCGCCGCCGCTCTCGCCGATCCGCGAGGAGCCGCGGCGCGGCAAGCGCGTCACGTTCGTCGAAGTGACGCAGGTGCGTCGCGTCGAGTGCCTTTCTGATGCAGAGGGCGCCGGCTTGCAGCGGGAGCGCGTGTGCGACGAAACGCGACCGCTGTCGGCGCAGCAGCCCGTCGCCAAAGACTGCCTTCCCAGCTTCCGTGCGCGACGGCAGAGCCATCTGGCGGCGCCCCGTGAGGCTCTTGATGTTTTGGCCGTCACTAGCGGCGCTGGTAATGCCGAAGCGACCACGGAAGTGGCGGCGCCTCTGCATCTGTGGAGTAAGGACATTCGGAATTTTAACAGTGTCAGGACGTGACAAGAAGAGAGCCGCCCCGGATGGCCCGGGGCGCCGGCAGCGGACTCCGTTCTAGAATGCGGCTCCATAATGCGCGGGTGTGAGCGTCTGCGTCCATCGAGGATTTTTCGTGGAGGGGAATAAGCGTCAATTGTTATTTTCGACTTTGCCTGCGCTGAGATCACTAGCACGTCGTTTTTCGGAAATGATCTTCCACGATTTTGATGGACCCCTTGCTGTTAAAAGAGTGCTACGAACGATAAAATCCGACCGTGACATTTGGAACAAAGCTTTGACCGAACGTGACCTGTAAATACCACTTAATCCAGGCATCACAATGTTCATCACAGCAGCTGGCTTGAATGGAGGTCACGGTGACGCATGCACGGACCGACATCCTTGGGTCGACGGTTGTGGCTGTGAATAGCAGTCATATATATAGTCAATAGCTGTGAATAGTCCGGCTCAGTCGGCACCGGTCTTGCCTGTTCGCAGGATCAGAGGCCACCGACATGAAGTCTGAGCCCGATGCGGTGGACGCCTCCTTCCAAATCGGGACAGATGCTTTGGATGTTAACGAAAGCTTGTCTGTGGAGGAGGCGGTTGCTGGCTGTCCGATTCGGAACGGGTTCTTTTCTGAAAACATCCAAGTGCTTGCTGTGGTTTGGCCCCAGTTTTTTTTTTAATCCACTCGAAACACCCGAGCAGATGCTGCTAAGGAGTCTGCATAGGTGTGACATCACTGGAGTTGGTGCCGTCTGGAACCCGGTATTTTTCAGATTTGGCTGTTGTATCCTTACTTTTAAAAATTGCGCTAAAATGGGAATGGACCTCCGTAAAATTTCAGGTCTGGTTCTGTTCATGCACAAGGCGACGTGACCAAGTCCTGGGCGCTGTGAGTCGTGTTTGAGGCTGCCTCGTGACCAGCTGATTGTCGGAAGCCGTGTCATGCTCTGGCCGATGTAATGACTCACTACCGGTAGCTGCTGTTACCTGTCAGTCTGCCCGTGAGCACATCCAGGACAATCTTTCCGAGGTGGAGAGGACTGGCGTCCCACTTGTGGTACCCGAATTTTTATATCTTTAAATTTAACGCATTTTACGGCGACCATTTTGTTGGCAAGGGGTTCTCGCACTTCTGCAGTGATGCCCTGCCGTCGTCCTCTTGTGTGCACCACTGATGTTTGCGGGTCGGCTGAGTGAGCTCGTGATGTTTTCACCACTGTTTGCCCGGGGTCGCGTGCTGCCAGAATGGCCTGCCTGCCTCTGGCGGTACGTCGAGACAAGAACAACCTTGCGCCCATCTAGACGCGGACCAGCCACTAATCAATCGATCACCGACTGCGGCATCAGCATCCACCAAGCACCACCTACTGGGGCATTGGTGTCCACCAACCATCACCTATTGGGACATGCCTCCGCCTTCCCTGACCTGGTGGCACACAGCCGCTGATTTGGTTATAGCGACTGTGACGCGTCTTCTTGTTGATTTGATAACCAATCGCAGCGCGGAGATGTGTCGGATGTAATGATGGACACGCACTGGATGTCTGATGGACACTCAGGGGAGTTCATGTGGGATACCTAGCGGCCTTCTAATGGTAGGACGGTGTTTGTCACTTGGCCAGTGCGTTCATCGCTGTTTATTGCCGGTGGGATGCTAGAATTTTGAAGGAGTGTGTCTTGCATTGTGAGTCTGTCAATTAATATACGGATTGTTTCTTATCGACGCTCACCAACACTGGAACATCGCATGGATGGATGAATGGATCCTTTTCCGAGTACAGCTCCTCTGAGTAAATCATAGCGTAGCATTGAAATTCAGTTCTGTGGGCAATCTGTGTTTGCGTTATTTCGGAATGCATCTAACATCATTCACGGCATGTCCTGGCCGATCAAGAGGGGGGGGGGGGGGGGGGGGTAAATCACTTGCAACCTTGACGGAAATTTTTTGGTGACGGCTTCCCCCCCCCCTTCTCCCCCCCCCATCGTTATACGTGTGCGCGTGCTGGGAGGCGGCTGTCGCAAATGCTTGAACAGCTCGATTTTATCCGTTTCAAGAAGGAATGGTAAACCCAAGGGGTAGTATTAACTTAAATCTTATATAAATACTGCCATAGCGCTTAACGATGGCAAGTCCCGTAGTCATACGTCGGAGGTTACGAAACATTCTAAAGTAGCAAAAGCAATTATTCGAAAACAGCATTTAATACATTTTCATGTAATTAGCCCACGATCTGCTCACTAAGACTGCAGTAACTCCAAAACACACCCCATCAAGGAATTGGGAGTGCTCCTTTGCCGTAACAGTGAGCCTCGCTGAAAACTGACGCATTTCCTGGGTGTTCTTATCGCACCCATTGGAAACTATTCTCAACTCGATGTGTGTGGTTTCTCTGACATTTTTCGAAACAATGGGTTCAGGCAGTCCATTCGATCATCTCTGTGGTTCACACTTTCGCCACAACGAATGAATGGACTATGGCTGAATAATGACATTCAGCGTGCGCACGCATGACTGGTTTGCTCGCAATACTCGCAGGCGGCGACTGGACACTCGGGGTATTTTGTCCAGTGGTTCTAATAGGAACCGCGACTATGACAAACCAGATACAACTAGTAATCAGTTAGAAATAGTCAGAAAACTCCAATAACGTCGAAAATGCGCTTGTTTGAGCAAAAGTTGTGCTGTGTGAGATTTATGGCAACTTACGTCATGCCATTGTTCAAGCTGAGAAAACTGTTTAAGTTTAAGACAAACACTAATGCCTATGTTTTTGATTATGTTTTCAACACGCTATTAGCCGTACAATGTCATAACTTAAAAAGGATTGGCGCACCAATCCTGACTTAAATCTTGGCACTTCTCCACAGAGAAGAAGCAAAATAAAACAGGCGCCGAACATGACATTCTAACACCGAGCCTCTGCCACAGCACCAGCTGCCACCATCGCCATCGCCGCCGTCTCAGTTGAATTGAAGCAGCCTCAGACCGCAGGCCGACGCTCAAATGGTGTTGTCCTGGAAGCACGCTGCGAGCACCCGACTGTCCGCGGTGCTGATGTGCATTCCGTGCATTATTGCGTGTGGGGTGGCGTTGTGGTCGCTCCCGTTCGCATCCGATTCCAACCGCACCAGCAGAAGCAGTCCTGCCCCTCCTATGTCTATGTCTATGTCGGACAGAGACCACCAACACCGAGCGATTGGCTCAATGTGGGTTTGTATCCTGTGGGCCCATTTCCCAAGCAGGAGCAGGGCCGGGCCTGCGATTTGCAATGTTGGGTCACTGACATAATGAGGGGCTCCTGTGTCGGTCAGTGGTTCACAGCGTCTAACAGGGGTATTATGCCGGCAAGTGACGTCGAGACAGCCATGAGCCGGGTTTGAGGGAACCCGAACAGGTGCCGGAAGGGTCTCTGGAGGTCAAAGTTCGAGGGCCTGTTTGGAAGGCTGGAGAGCCCGAAGGGCCGAGTGTAGGTTACCTTGAGGACTCCTGTCGGTAGGGCCGCGATCTCAAGTGTTAGGAAGAGGGGCTCTTGCACCGATTGCACTGAGGCAGTGTAGTCCCAAATGTTAGCCAGAGATCGCCAACACCGAACAGTCGGCTCCGTATCGGTCGAGCCCAGGGGGCCTAATTCCCAACGCAGGACAATCACCTGGACCTGCGATTTGCATTGGCTGGGTCATCTGCAACAATGCGGGATTGCGGTGTCGGTCAGGGGCCCACAGCACCAAACAAGGTGTCCTGCGTCAGCAAGGGACCTAGAGTCAACCAGGAGAACATTTGTTGAACAGGGACGGGGACGGGACGAATGCCAGAGGGCCTCTTGCGTTGGCCGGAGCCCTCTGACAATGAAAGGAAACATGAGAACTTACGACAAGAGTTCGTCTTGAGACCATGGACGGGCTCTGTGTCATTTCCGTGCCCCAGGGTCAAATGGTGGGCCTTCCATCCCAGTTCCAGCCATGAGCCCGTTGTGCTTAGCTAGAATCTATTTGTCAATCATTGGACAACCTGCGGTGATCAGGGCGAGGAGTCTTGCGTCGATCGTGACCAACTGCATGGGTGAGGAGGCCTCCTGCGTCAAGAAGGGGATCAAGATGACATGATGTGTCCCTCTCAGGGCCTCCGGGTCGACTAGGGTACCCCGCCCTCGTGTCGCCAGAATGGCGGCCGGAAGGCACCCGGGCTGCGTCGGAATGGCCCTCCAACTCTCAGTCGGGAACGATGGTGTGCCCCTAGTGGTCTTCCCCTAGTGGTCTACTTCTAGTGGTCTGCCTCCAGTGGGTGCCCCTAGTGGTCTACCCCTAGTGGTCTGTCCCTAGTGGTCCATTCAAGGGGAGCCTTGTCCGGAAAAAGTACAGGTTGGCATTCGTGTAAAAACGAGTGAGCTGACATGAGTCCAACAACAAAAAAGGTCATCTCATGTTTACCTGAGAACAGTCATTTTTCGGAATCGACTAGCGAAAAAGCTCGCAATATCAGTACCAAGAACAGTGATGGCCGGGGTTACAGTTTCCGTAAAACCGAACAGCGTTGGCAACTGCGAATAATGCCCGAAAGTGAGTGTCGTGCGCCCGAGAATGACCGCTTTAAAATAATGCTTCCAAATGTGTTGCAAAGTTAGTTCGTATCGGTCGAAGACTAGGGTGGGGCTTGTACTTTTTCTGCAGTTTTGAGGTTGTCCTTTTGACAGGTTAACAGCTTCAACAACACGAAAAATCCACATGCGGCTGCGGATCAACTGTCCAACTGCAGTTAGACGGCTATCAAGCCTCCGTGAGTTCAGCGACCCGTAGGGTCCCGACCGTAAGCTCCATGTATGGATGTCCAGTCCACCAGTGTCGCCCGTCGGACCGGTACAACGACGGATGGCCTAGTGAGGGTGTCCGCCGGTCCCCACGCACGGTGGTCAAGTCCGGCGAGCATTTTATCTATGCTCGCCGGACTTGACTCTGACTCACTCAGCCAACTGACTCGCAGCGACATTCGCTCGTCAGTTGGCTGTTCCTCTTAACATGGCGACCAACATGGGGGCTAAACGGTCTTTGGAGCGCTGGAGAGAACTGAGAGAACTGGAGAGAACTGAGAGAAAAAAGAGAGCGCTAGAGAAAAAGAAGAATAGAACAGAGGGCAAATTGCTTCACAAGTGCTTCCATGGTAGTAGAGTGTTATCGGAAACGTTTTGCAAACGAATTTTGCGCGCGCATTGGATCAGCACTGCCTGTGCCCAGCCGCACCCGCGCGTGCCTTCTGACGGATTTTTTAATCACCAGGCACGACCAATGCGAATGATTTATAGTAGAGGCCGCTTTCGGTCTGTCGTCAGCACGTTTGTCAGCACCAATCACGGCCAAGTATTCGCCCTACATCACGTCAAGTGACCGCAAAGTCACGTGACCTGGCACATCACGCGCCGGCAGACGATGTTGCCAGAATTTTTTGTCGGCCTGCCAGCATAGGGAGAGAGCGCTACCAGATTAAAAAATCACTCTGATTTAAGTGGGGGTTTAATTTGGTAGCTCTTGCGTTGGCGAGTACGTTAGGTGGGTTGGGGGCACTTGTTTCTAACTTTGAGGGAAATGCGACGTAAGGAGAACATTGAAATGCCAAGAGTGGTCATGAAAAGGTGAGTGACAACGAGGCAGAACCCCCCAACGAGGCAGGGCGACGTACCAGGGCGGACCGTTTCAACGAGTTCTCCTTGTCACTGGGATCATGAATCGCCGCTGACCTGAGCGACCTAACAGGCGGTCCGGTCCCGTGACCGTCCGTCGTCGTCTCGGCAGCTTTCCATCCCCAGCCAGCCACCCTACCGGAGTTGGCTGGAGCTGTCAGACGCCTGACCTTGCCTGGAACGGTCGGCTCGTTAGGGGTGTCGCTGGGGATGTTTTGCAGTAACAGGTCCCCATCTGCTGCGCGTTCTTAACGTGTCTGTGACGAACGACATTTTTCCCGGAGTGTGGAAAGCTGCCGAGATGGCTCCCGATCTACAAAGCGGAAGGCGACGCGCACGAGCCCTCTTACTATCGCCTGACCTCTCTCTTCTGTTTCTCTTGTCTACAATTACCGAGGAAATTGTGTAATCAACTCTCTATGCACCTGTGCGGCCGTGACATTTTCTGAATGAACAGAAATAGTCGTCAAGGAGATCATTCGGCACAGTTCACGGCCCTGCCCTTCTTAAAATGCAATGCCATATAGTTTCTGAGATACATGCCCGCAAATATATTCAGACTACTTCGTGCCGCATATTTTAAGGCTATTAGGCATGAACGACGCCATGGCAACGCCATTTCACTCCACGCCATTCAAATCCTGCCACACCATATTCCATGTAATGTTGAAGGCCATGAAGAATACCATTGTCAAGCACTTCAGATCTGGCGTCTGCAACCAGTATGTCTAAATAAAGTTGAAGTCTGCTGGCTCTCAGTCAATGTTGAATAGGTTGTGCAAGTTTCAATGACGATTTGGTTATTTTTGTTCTTTGGATTAGAGCCTTCTCGAGCAGTAATCGTCATTTCACAGCTATGAGATGAAGGTGAATGGATAAACGTTGAGCTGCATACTGGAGGGGGGGGGGGGGGGGGGAGAGCAACGGCCGAGCCTTAGCCCGCGCAGTGACCCCTCTGCGGGGCATTCGCTGGACACCCGGTTGGCCTCGCCCTCTAGGGGGGCTCTCGGCCACTCGTTGATGGCACATGAAGCCTGCCCCTTACAATCGCGGCGCTTTAAAGCGTCGTGCGAGATAAACGAGTCCGAACTGGGTTCAGTGAAAGTCTGTTGGCAGTCAGTGGCGGCGTTTGTGACGCGAGAAGCTCACTGGCTTGAAGAGCGTGCTAATCGTCAGTTTTTTTAAGATGCCGCGCGGTTTTTCTAAGGAATGTCTCCCGCGCACGCACCCCCGGTCGGCTGCGGTGTCGGGAGCTCCGCTCCTTCCTGCCTCACATCACCGTGCCTCGGCCTGCGTACCTGCCAGCGACTGTCGTGCGAGAGTGACCACCTGCGTGACGCAGCGCGCCGTGGATTCATGCCAGTCCGACGAAACAGTCTGCTTGACCAAACAGTCTACTTCTACCGTCACAAAGATGCATTGCGATCTTGCCAGCCAACTGCTGCTGCTGGTGTTGACCTACCTGCCCGTAACAGCTGCGAGACCAGCAACACAGCCGCCTCCCCGACTCGTACCAGCATCAAAGCCGCATTCCCGACTCGGACCAGCACCATCGTCACCGGTGCTGTCCTGTAGCGATCCCCAGCCGCCGGCCCTGTCGACACACTGGCCGATCTCGAGGCGACCTCGCGCCGCACCCCGGCCACGGTGACCTTAACCGTAACCTGCCTGCGGCCGCTCGCGCTGCCCGGCGCGGCAGGCGCGGTGCCGGCACCAGGCGCCGGGGCTGCAGGGAGGGTCAAGCTTGGCGGCGCTCTTCTCTGGACGGCCGTCGTCAGAACATGCTGGTGGGATTGATCAACATTCAGTCCCTGCTGCCAAAGATAGGTCCACTGCAGCATAGCCATCTAAATCGGTTGCATTACGACTTTTGCGTGATCACCGAGGCGTGTCTTTGATCCGCCACTGCGTCCAGGCTGGTCACAGTCCCGGCTAGGCGCTGCGCCGTGTGGACCGGCCAAGAGAGGTCGGCTGTCGAGGTGTGGAGATCTTGAGCCGTGACTGTTAAGAAGCCGCTGTCGTCACACAGCCGGCATCTGAGTGTCCGGACTGTCGGCTGGAGTCCCTCTGGCTGCGAGTGAGACCGGAGTCCGACCCGCACTTTTCTGTGGCTGCGGTCTACCAGCGCCCCTGCTGCGCGATGGGTGCCCTCCAGGCGGACTTCAACGAACTGAAGTTGCAATATCAGCGGGTACTTTTACATTACCTCGGACCGATCGTCATCATGGGTGATTAAACGGTAATTCACGGGACCCTGTTACTGACGTCAGAAAAAACCGGTTAAATGAGATGCTGCGATTGTTTCTTCTGCACTGGTTTCTTAGATAGCCCTCTTTTTCTTCCGGGTCGCTTTTAGACGTGGCCATTTGTAATTTAGACAACGTCGTTCAGCGTGTTGGGGATTTTCACTGCGCTTTCAGCCCTGACCACCTTATTCGCACGCTCATACTTTTGTAAAAGTGTCGTGTCAAGCCTCTCCGTATCAATACTTGACTGCTGAAGTGGGCTAATCATGTTCGTTTGCTTCGTAATTTCTGCCATGTCGACCGGTCCGGTGTTCCTAGGCGCCCATTAGTCGCTGATATATAGTTTCATCCGCTTGACGGTCTTTTACTTATCATTGACAAACACGCTCCGATCAGACCAGTGCCATTGAAGGATACAGGCGCACCAGCTGTCGCCCCGGTGACCCTTGACCTCATGGCACGGCGGGGGGGGGGGGGCGTCACGGGGGGGGGGAGATTGCCGGCTTTCCGCGAACTAGACGGGAGTGTAAGACGGCGATCACGCGTGACTGCCTGGCGGATGTTGAGGGTTGGCTGCATGAGCAGGGGAGCAGCTCTCTGTACCACATATCCGCCCGCTGTTGGCGGGAAATAGACCAGTGCCCGCAATCTCCCAGCCACGATCCCGGACGAGATGGATGCTCGTTTTGTCAATGTCGGCCCCCGTGTTTCAGCCAGCCTGGCCGGTCCCGGACAGCCGCCTGACGTCATATGTCGCCTGGCCAGGGTGGGTGCTTACAGTTTCCAGGTGGCTGGCACGACATTTGGCGGGCTGCACGTGGCCATGCTCTCCACGAAGCGTTCCAGGGCGTTTGGACCTGATAGCTTTTGCATTCGTACCCTGCTCCTCTGTGTTGACGTCATCGGCCATATGCTTCTCCATATTATCAACATCCGCCTCACCTTCTGTGATTTTCCCGATTCCTGGAAGCACTCCTTGCCTCATCCTATTTCAGAATCCGGCGATCCAACCCTTGTCTCCAATCACCGTCCTATTTCCATCGTTCCCACCACTGCCAAGATTGTCAAGCGTGTGGTGCAGCGCCAGGAGTTCACCTACATGTCCGACATTCATCTTCTGTCCTCATGACAGCACGGTTTCAGTCCCCGCCACTCCACTGGGAATGACAGGGCTCTACTCACCGTGACCAACCGCATCTTTTCCAACATGAATCGCGATCATATTTCACTTCCGCGCCTCTTAGATCTCAGCAAACGTTACAGTGTCATGCCTCATGCTCAACTACTTTCTCAACTCCAGCTCCATAACATTGACTTGGCTTGCTTCTTGGTCATTCCCAGTCAGCCTGCACCTCTTCTTCTCCTTGCGACAGAGTGGTCTCCAAGCTTCCCCCCCCCCCCCCCCGCCCACACCATACCGGGGGAGTCTTCCAAGGATCAGCCTTTGGTCCTCTTTTATTCACAATCTCCGTCAACGACGTCAGCACGCACGCACTGAGCGCCCACGTGACCTAGTGCGCTGACCACATCCAAATCCTTATCCAAATCCGATGCTAAACACAACCTTCCTTCCCCATCTAACGCATGGAAACCATCCTGTCCTCCCCAGCATCACGGCTCCATGCCCACGGTCTCAAGCTCAACGCGTCTAAAACCGAACTCCTTGGCACCAGACAGAACACCCGCGAACTTGCAAGTCTGCAAGTCTTGCCTGTTTGCTTCAAGCACACGCTCATGCGTGGACCAGCAATCGAACTACCCGCATGGACCATAACGTGCGCCCCCCGGTGGTGCACACGACGCCAGGACAGCGAACATGCCGCTGAGCATGCCGAGAGCATGCCGAGAGCATGCCGAGCGGTGTCTCCCATTAATGAGTTGTCTGTGGGTGATATATGACGGATTCCACAAGTCTAAAGCGCGCTGCTTGGTCCTTTTTGTGCACTGGTGTTGTCTCATACTGTTTATGTGTGCATGCGCTTGTGTTTTTTATCCCTCATCACTTTCCGTTGCTCTTTGCCATACTGTTGTATCTCTCAGACCAATGACATGTAATAGTCACGTATGTATGTGGAGTGTCAGGTGGTGTCAAGTACAGATCTGCCATGCCATGCTTCCGTGCCAGACATTCGACAGTCTCGGTGTTCGCAATGGTGACGCCCCGCTTAGGGGGTCACCACCGGCCAGAATGGGCGGTATGGGGAGGATTTCACCCTGCAGTGGTTTGTATGCAATATGCTATCATCTGCTCGAATGTCTAAATTAACGTCACGTCACTTGGCCATGTTCTCACTGCGGACGGCCTGCCGGCTGATCCCTAGAGGGTTGGGCAGGTTAGCTATGCCCTGACTGTAGACGGTCTGCCGGCTGATCCCTAGAAGGTCGGACGGGTTAGCTATGTCCTGGCTGCGGGCAGCCTGCCGGCTGATCCCTACAGGGTCAGTTAGGTTAGCCATGTCCTGGCTGCGGACGGCCTGTCGGCTGATCCCTAGAGGGTCGGACAGTTTAAGGAATGACGCGTTCCGGGAAGGCCGAAAGAGATAAGGAGCTTCCTAGGGATTGCTTCATGAAACTCATCTCTTACTCGTACATCACTGTCGCCATGATTTTTTTTCATTTCAACATAGCAAAGAGACTTACTGCACGAGCCGGTCTTTCAACTGCCGACGGATGGCCAATGGGCTCGAATTCTGTGTCCTTGGCCAGATTCCGTAGCCTACTTGTTATTAACATTATATTCCTAGAGATATTAAATGCATTGCCAGTTTTATATCAGTTCAGAATGCACATGGCTAGCATTTAGTCACTGCATCATTCGTCAGAATTAGTGAGGTAAACAGGCATCACACATCACGTATCATTTATACATGTAAGCCATGTAAGCGATTTCCATTACACAGGCATCGCGCGTCACGCGTCGGAC